TGTACTCAATGAGACTTGTTGTGACAACCTAAATATATTCAAAAGCTACTTTTAGGATGGCTCACCACTGCAAATATGAATGGTGCACGATGCGCACACACGGCATCCGTGTTAGCCAATGGAAAAGTGTTAGTTACTTGTGGATGGATTGGTTCTACTTCTATGAGTAGTACTGAATTGTATGATCCGTTAATAGGAACGTGGACAACAACTGGTAGTATGAATACTATACGACACTGGCATGCAACATCCTTATTAACTAATGGGAAGGTGCTTATGACTGGTGGATTGAGTGGTAGTTTTTATCCAAATAGTACTGAGTTATATGATCCATTAATAGGAACCTGGGCTACCACTGGTAGTATCATTAATACACGATATTTGCACACAGCAACTGTATTAACTAATGGAAAAGTGCTAGTTACAGGTGGATATAGTAATGGTTCTTCTCTGCATAGTGCTGAATTATATGATCCACTAACAGAAACGTGGACAGCGGCCGGTAGTATGAATATTGCACGACATTGGCACATGGCATCAGTATTAACGAATGGAAAAGTATTAGTTACTGGTGGTTTAAATACTAGTACTTCTCTAAATAGTGCAGAGTTGTATGATCCATTGTTAGGAACGTGGACAACAACTGGTAGCATGAATACGGAACGAGCTTATCACACAGTATCCTTATTAACAAATGGAAAAGTCTTAGTAGCTGGAGGAAGAATTAGTTTTTCTTCTCAAGCTAGTGCAGAATTGTATAAACCAGTAACAGAAACGTGGACAATAACTGGTAGCATGAACACTGCCCAATTTGGACATACAGCATCCTCATTAACAGATGGAAGAGTCTTAGTGGCTGGTGGATGGAATTTACATGCTTGGAATACTACAGAATTATATTAGTTACGCAAAGTGCACTGACAATCAATAATCTTCAGCTTATTCTCACATTTGCTCTTGTCGTTAAGCGTACATGCCTAGTTGAAATTCTAATAAAAAAATGAGCAATTAAAAAAACACTAACATGTTCTCGTACACTGTAAAAAAACCGTAGAATAAAAACGGAAAAAGGGCTTATGAAAGTACAACGTGTTACAAACCCTTTTCAAGGGTTTATTAAGGGGTCATAAACCCTTTCATTAATCCTCGAAAAAGGTATTAATACGGGGTTTATGAGTCGCAAATGCTAACCCTGAAGGGTTAATGAAAGGGTTAATAAGGTTCATAAATCCTTAATGGATTTGCTATACGTTGCACTTTCATAAACCCCTCAAGAGGGTTGATGAAAATACGATACTCGTAATCCAGGCTTAGAAAGTATACTTATAAGCGTTTATGGGGATCATGAATGGCCGAAAAGGTTTGTGATAAGGTATATTAAGGTGAGGGATGTCCAAGAACTGAGGTTTATGAATTTTTCCAATACCTAAAAGTACTAGCTGTAACCACTAAACTCCACAAGGAATTGAGAACTAGCATTCAAACGCTACACATATCCTCTTCAGTTGCCCCAATCTGATGCATATCAGATCATTTCCCCAGTTCCTCGGGGAACTGACTATAAATTCATTCTAGGCATCTACCTCAATTTCTATATACTGTCAGCAGAACTATTGAATTCCACGGTTCTTCTGACTTTTACATCTTGAGTTCATATATTACACCAGTCACATCCAATATAATATTTGAGCCCAGGGTGAAAAAGTCCGGAGAACTGGGGAATTGTAATAATTCTGCTGACAGTATATAGAAATTGAGATAGATACCTACAAGTAATCTAAAGTCAGTTCCCAGAGAAACTGAGAAAATGATCTGACATGCATCAGATTGGGATAATTGAAGAGGATAAGTGTAGTGTTTTAATGTTAGTTCTCAGTTGCTCGTGAAATTTAGTGGTTGCAGCTAATACTTTTAAATATTGGAAGAATTCATAAACCTCAATACTTGGACACTGCTGGGTTATTGACCACAATCGTCGGTTTCAAGGTGCGTGATAAGTTATGTAGAGCGGTTCAAGATAAGTATCAATTGATCTCAGAGATTGTTGAATGACTGAATAGAAGAGTTTCTTGCCTTCATGAATGACGAGCACACATCTATAAAAGACATGCAGAAACAATTAATAATTTTCGGGGAGATCCGAGTAGCATGATAGTAATTTATGATGTTACAAAGTCATTAACTAGAGGATGTCAGACTTATAGAAGGTCGATGGAAAGTTTTATCGCTATTAGCTCAAAGTTAGGAACTTCGTAATTAACGAAACTCTCACTTGGTAATCTGAAAAATCAGATGTTAACTCATTCAGTAAGGAGCAAAATTGTGAAAGTTCAAGATGATTGTATTCATAAAATAGAATTTAACAAACCTTTTCGGCCATTCATGATCCCCATAAACGCTTATAAGTATACTTTCTA